TTCATAAACAACTGCAAATCTCCAATGACAATTCAGTTCTTGAAACTTTGTTGATGCATGAAGTTTAATAATATGTAGAAAAATAATTGGAAACTGTAATTTGCGTTTATTTCAGTTAGAATTATACGAAAACAATTAGATTATTAAGCAAATTTTGCTCTCGATTTCTATGAGGTGATAGCTGATGTCTCAGGCTGAAGGCTGAATCTACTATCACCTCATAGAAATCGTGAGTTCAAAATCTAATTGTTAGTTAGTGGAATTCTACTAGTACATGTATGATAGAAACACAGATCTAGCGCAAACTGTCAACTACTGTATATGATTGTACAAGCAAAGACAATTTACATTTTTATTATCAAAATAAGCTTTGCCAAGTGACATTTCCTTTCTTTTTCTCAATGTGTTTTCTAAAACAAATTGAAAACATTTTCTCTGTGTTTCTATCAAGTTTTATATAATAAACAAATTGGATACTGTTAAACAAATAGCTGTTAAAAATAAAAACACTAACAATTTGAACAGAAAATGGAAAAACCTTAATTTAACGGCAGAAACTCAAAAAAGCAGAGGAAACACTCACCTGCAACTTATTTTCCTCAGAACGTCCACTTTTTACTGTGATACAATAAAAACTAAATTGGTTTATTATATAAAACTTGATAGAAACATGGAGTACATGTTTTCAATAAACTCGAGTTTGTAGCTATATAATTTAGTTAGTTAATTATTAGTAGGCGAAGAGCCACCCTGTGGAAGTACTACTTATATGTATAAAATCATCATTATTGTTATTATTAATTATTGTTATTGTTATTATTACTATTATTATTATTATTATTATTATTATTTTATCAATTTAAATTATAAAAACTCAGTCAGAGGTACTAAGGGTTTGCGTTGAACAAAGATATGTAGTGTAAGGGTTCACTACTTATTCACGTCTTTGTTTCCAATATTTGTAATTTATTTAATGGGAAACATTTGTATTGCTGAATCACAAACTGACTTAAGTTAATGATTATTTTTTTATTTCTTTTATTTCTTTTATTTACGTATTTACAATATTTTGCAGTTGATGGTGAAGTAATCAGCAGCATTGGTAAAGGACTTTGTGTTTTACTGGGAATTTCAAAACATGACACTCCTAAGGACATTGAATATATGTGAGTTTAATCCTTCTGTTGCAATATTTGTGCATAATGTACTTTTTTCAAGGACGCATGCATACTACCTCTCTTTGGATAACTGCCCCCTCTTTCTTAAAATAATTAAATTTGAAAAAAGCAGTTCCAGAAGGCGTGTTGAAAACACAAAATGGTGAAATGGTGAAATGACACCAAGGTTAGCCTAAATAGTGCTCAGATTAGCCTAAATATCACTGACTTAACAGTGGTAAAGGTAAGGAAAGTCTGCATACGAGCCAAATGGTTCATCAGGCCGAAGCTTATCCAGTTTCAGTAGCATGAACTGACCAGAAGTATTTCCATTCCCCCCTTGGATGGGATGCTAGTCCATCGCAGGGTTACCCCCCACCATTAATTTCGCCAGTACCCATTGATACACCTGGGTGGAGAGAGGCACTGTGAGAGTAAAGTTTCTTGCCCAAGAACACAATACAATGTCCCCTGCCAGGGCACAAACCTGGACTGCTTGCTCCAGAGTCGAGCATACCAACAGTGTTTAGCTCTCAGTAATAGTAAGGGCAACTCTTGCAGGCACCGATATCCCACACTGACTCTTACTCATAGTGCCATTTTGCTATTTCATGTTTTAAACATGCCTGTTCCAGAAAATGTTGACACCCATCTCATGCCTTGGTGTAAGAGCCTCCTTCCAATCGTTTTGAAAATTCCAGTTCAACTTCACACTTTCCTTTAAAAACTTCAGCTTAAATTGCATCCCAATGCTTGGAATTTCCAGTGACTTATCCTAGGTCGGAATGGGTATTTTCCATAGCGACACAACAGGACCCACCCTTCTCTCCCTAACAGCCAGCCAGAAAGAATGTAAGAAGTTGGAGATATTCTACAGATATTCTATTCTCTCATAAATGGCACGATTTTGTTTTGTGAAGGGTGCGAAAAATCTTAAACTTAAGAGTGTTTGATGATGATGGACAACGATGGAAGAAGTCTGTTGTGGATAAAAATCTTGAAGTATTGTGTGTGAGCCAGGTAAGAATAAATGAACTCATTAATTTTTATTTTTTTCTATTGCCTTTTGAAATAATGCATGTAAAGCCATGCATTAAGCAGTTTTAGGTTGTTAGTGTCCCAGTAGTCACTGGGTTGTATTGATGGAAGCTTATAACCAGGGTTCTCAGTAGTTTTTGCATTACAATTTAGTGGCAAAGGGAATCTAACAAACAGTCAAAAAACCTACAAAATGGCTACATGACCCTGGTATTTCCAAGTGAGAATACACACCTCAATGTACTTTTGTCATGATGGAATGTAGAAATCAGCTTGTTACTGCTTGTTACCGAGAACCATTTTATAATCCTGGCAAGTTTCAGTCCTTGAGATTGAAAGAGAGCAAACAAACCAAGTGTGGTCACATGAAAGTCAGGAGTCAGGGATGGTGGGGCTTGCCCCACTACCCCCTGCTTCATGGATTGTTTTGGTCTAGCCCCAATTTTTGCATGGCCAGAAAGTGCAAAAAGCTCTGTTTTTATAGGAATGTTAACTTAACTATGCAGATTATTCAAAACACTAATTACATCTTTAATATGGCCACCACTCCTTGTTTAAGACTGTGCTGCTGATTATTTACCAACCAAGCAGAGCTGCTTTTAAAACGTCACATTTCTTCTGTTCAGTTAGTTATTTGACAGTTCAAGCGCACCACGCTTGGTATTTTTATTCATCGATTATTTTTATCTCTTAATTGTATGCACTGAGACCTTCACTCGTACATTCACTAGATAATGAACTCACATAACGTATCTTATTTGAATTTGAGAATGATGGCATGGAGCCGTCGAAACGTCACTCTTCAATATCGCTGCTTTTTATTCTTAATTGTTTATCGAAAACCTTAGTTATTACAGTTAGTTATTGTGTTTAAAACTTCACAATAAAACAATTATATCCTGTGATTTAGGGGAGGTGCTAAGCTTAAAATTTACTATGCTGACAGCTTGTCAGTTCACCAAAAAGACAACAAAGCAAAACAAAACAGAAAACAAGCAAAGAACAAACATAAAACGGAAATTTGATAAAACTGATAAGCAAATCAACCGTGTCTTTGTAAAAATTCAGACCAAGTTATTGTTATAATTAACGCTGTTTTTTCTGTCAATTTGTTTTGGTCTAGTTCACACTACAAGCGGTTCTTAAAGGTAATAAGCCAGACTATCATCTTGCTATGGGAGGTGAACAAAGTGAGGCTTTTTATCAAGACTTTCTGAACCATATGAGGACAGTGTACAGAACTGATGCAATTAAAGGTAATGCCAATTGATGTATGGAACTGTTAGCCAATGAACTTGCAATCTCTTTATAAATTATCCAATCATTTTGAGTCTGTACGTGACGCGTCTCCTAGTGGCGGGAAAGTTTCGGATGCCCGGTGCAAGCAAAAGGAACGTTGTATAGAATATTAACCAATCGAGGAACGACGGCCCGCTTAATCGTCCAATCGCAGTGACCTTTGGCGTCACGGGTCCTGAACTGGCGGGAAAGTTTGGGATGTTTTATGATTGAGAAACATTAATACAAAATGTCACCCAATCAACGTGCAGTGTCGCCTCTAAATTGTCCAATCACAGTAAACTTGACGGGAAAACTCACAGCGTCCCATAAATGTGACGCGACCTCGCCCTTTAAAGCGCTCTCGTCGAGTAAATAAATGTTCTCCTCTCTTTTTAGATGGGAAATTTGGAGCATACATGCAGGTTCACATTCAAAATGATGGTCCTGTGACGATATCACTAGAATCACCACCGCCAAAACCGGCTCAGGAAAAACAGGTAATTGACCTAACCTAACATTTATTCACCACAACGAATTTTTTCTGAAGATGAAGTACGAAAACAAAATCAATAATCGTGAACTCCCTTATGCCATTTTCCCGCGCTGTCTGAAACGTTATACCCGTCGTTATAAATTTTTGTATGCTGGTCAAATAATTGAAAATTATTAAGAAGCGAGGTTGACTAACGATAGAGATGATTGGATTGGATTATAAGATGGGTCACTGATAAACTTTAAAACGCGAGGCTTTGTTTTCAAGTTTGGTTCAAATTTCTTTGAAAATTGGCAAAGTTTTGTTACGAATCGAAATTTCTCAACATCAAACGTTACGTATACTTCTTTTGTGTGGAAACTTTCCTGCTCAAGAGACCACTGAAAAACGTTATCCCTTGTTGAAAGATTTTTTACATGGGAAGGGAAAAAAATTCAGGAGAACCTTAACTCAGGTGTTCCTAATATTTTGTGAGAACTACAACCAGCTTTAAAGGCTAACGGACCATGTGTTGTGAAATTAAGTCCACTAAGTTTTGCGCTTGTATTTAGTTTTCTTAGGCTTGGGTTCGATACTAATCTACTTTCAGAACTTTTTTCTCCGATCTTCCATGCGCACTAAAACGGCATTTTCGACCACCGAAAATGGAACCTTCAAAAACGCCCCTTCGAGTAGATAAATTTGAAAACGCAAACCAGATAATTTTGTTTGGACGGCCAATACTGAACTATTGGAAGCATTGGCGTCACAAAGTCGAAATGAGCGCAGGCTCAACTAATGTGCGCATGCTTTAGTTCAAGTTTATAACAACAATAAACTGATGTTGACGAGACCCAAGAAGCAATATCTCAAAGACAGACACACACACCGGGCCTTGTAACACTTTATTTCAGAGACACGTAACACCGCGATCCTTATGTCACGCTCATGGGTAAAATCTCAGCAACTTAGGTAACATGCTACTAAGGCTCGACCTCAAAGTGCAACTCCAGTAGACAACAATCGGACTCTTTAGCTGTTACAACATATCTTCACTTCCTGAGTAAAGGCCATTGTTACCTACATCTGTAAAAGACGGCGTGTCAATGGTTCCAGTCATTTCCTTCACGTGTGCACCTCCTGCCCCATTCCCCCTAGACTGCAAAACAGTCGTTTTCGGACGTTTTCGGAAAGGCGCGAAGCGCCGTAAGCGCGATCCTCGCGTGTGAAGCNGAAAAACAAGGAAGTCATTGAAACTAGTAAAAGATCAATTCCAAGCTGCAGTTCCTACATGTATCTCAGTTATTTAATTTGCAGCTGATAGATAGCTCTTTTATTTGTACCGTGCATTTTTGGACACAGCATCTACGGTAGAATTGTGAATATTTTCTATACTTAAGTATAATAATAAAAACAATTTAATTTTGTTTTTGTTGGTTTTTTCTCTCTCGATGATTCAAACTTCCAAGTTTCTTACTGTTCAATAGCAAAATATTAACTCATTTTCCTGAGTGTTATAATTATTTAGTCCCACGTAGGCCATCTAAGCGCTTCAAAAGTGTGGTCGTGGTAACATCACTACTCACTAGTAACTTTGTCTAAAATATACAAATTGATTGATTGATTGACTGACCGCCTGCCTGCCTGCCTGTTTGATCGATCAATCGATCGGTACGTCGATCGATTGTTGAAGCAGGGCAAAGAATGTGTAACTGAAAGTCCCTTTGTTTCTCCTCTTACTTTGTCTTGTCGCTACCGGAAGCGAATTTGAGTCACTTTTGTTTGTCCGTGAATATCCAAAGTCATCAGTTTTACACAACTCTTTCACATTCGTTTCAACTCCTCTCAGGTAGTATGGGAAAGCAAAATAAAGTGACGTTAACTTCTCAGCTGCCAGCTGCGTCTATTTTTTCTCCTTTCGGCTTGTGATCGTTTCATATCACTGTTTCTAACGCCAACGTCATAAGACCTTTAGACCTTGTCGAACGCGACTTATCGCGTGACAACCTCGCGTGATTCCCCCCTTGTCTCGCGAAGGAAACAAATCACGTGGTAAACTTGAACCTCCGCACAAATGAAGGCATAATTAACCTGATAGGTTTTTACTTAACCAAGACCATTTAAATCTACAGTCAACTTCAATATCATTCAGGTGAAAACCCGGGGTCAAAGTCAAGATTGAAGCTATAGGATAAAACACATCGACTTGAAACAGCGCATAACAATCACTGTGCCTCTGCCGGTTTCTACTCTTTCATCCCATTTCAGTCTCAAATTTCACTTCTCGCTGAGAGAGAAAGATGTGGCCTTTATATAATGGTACCACTTGTCAGTGATATTGACTATACCGATACAATGGTCGGTATCTCCGCAGATGCGCGTAATTAATCGCAAATTACAACTCGTAGAGATCGCTTCCGTCTCGAAAACCTGCCTGTTACATCGCAAAGATCACCAAATTGGCGACATAGTCCGCCAATCAGCGCTTTCACATGCAAATCCCACACGTGATATTGTTCATGCTTGACTGGTTTTGAATACCACGGCAAATTAACATACATACAGACATGTGGAGGAAAATGCATGACTTTATAAATACAATTTGAGAGCGTTGGTTACCTGTTAGGCTAGAGTCTCCGGTGGAGTTTGAAAACTAGAAAATTAGTAATCGGCGACACGGAGGTAGGGATTCTTTATCCCAAGTTACAGGATTGTGAGATAAGCAGAGTTTTGTGCCGGAGATATGAAAGGTGGTAAGTAAATATAACCTTTGTTAAATTGTATGTGCTCCAATCCAATGGCTTTTTAGACATCAATTATTCTGCTTGCACTTATAATACAACGCTCAGTTCATATTAAATCCTCTTCCCTTGCCGTTCGCCTTCAAATGCCGTCTTCGCCCGTTAAAACGTTGGTTGGTTAAACTTCATCAGGCAAGTGTTTTAAAATTTTCAAGCGTGACTCGGAAACTTCATATTTGAAGTCTGTCGCGCGGCCCAGCACGAATCAAATTCTTGAATTTCAAATTAAAACAAAGACTTTATACTCTAAGGCCCTAAATTGAACTTCCAAGGTGTACAATTGCTCCCGTACAACAGATAGCGCCAAAGAATAATATTTCACGGTGCTGGTCAATTTTTCCCTCTCATTTCCGGTAAGGTTTCTATTTTCACTGACAAGCTGGGATTATGTTTTTCAGTTATGACAGAACCTGCATTTTATTAGGTTCCTTAAAATTCCACCAATGGACATTTGATTTCTTTTAGCAGTTTAGAATCTTTTTATGGCTTTACTCTTGTGGGAAGACATCCAGAAACATGAATTATTTACGTCTGTATATATTTTCGTAAATTTCTCTGTACTTCCAACACCAAGCATTATATTTTGTCATGTCGGGTTGCAATTGCAAATTTGCGCGATCTCTTTCTGCGAGGAGAGAAAAAAATGAATGAAATTAGCCGCAAGGTGCCGTGTCTGACAGACGAGCGAATTAAAAACCATGTGGTTCATTAAACTTTACGCGCTTGGCAACTGGTTATTTGACCGGAGAGATTTAGACAAGAGATGATCTCATGTTTATAAGCGGATGGGCTAGTATTAGTCAACATTATATTAAATTACAGGAAAATCATTGAAAACGCGGTTAATTAAACTTTTGTTGTTGTTATCGCGTTTTTTTGTCTGTGCATATCAGATGATTTTACTTTGTTTTCTTTCGAATAGATAAGAAAGAAAATGGGAACGGGCATTATTACTACAAAGGTAACGCATTCCTATATAATTTATTCGTGCTGTAAAACAAATACATTATCATATGTTAGTGTGACTGTTTGGTCACGTGATCTTGTCCTGTTTGCTCTGGCTTCGCGTCGCCGTTCATCTCGGGAAAGTGGGAAATTCGCTTAATTTTTTCTTTTTATTTTCCATGCACTTCGTCTTTTGAGACGCCAAGTGTCTTAAAAAACTCTGTTTTGCGTATTTACGGGATTACAAAGCGTTTAGGTGATTTAAATGGCGTCAGAAACGAGAACTTCGATCATGGCTCACACAAGAGTGGATGGGAAGAAAGAGGGGTTGGAAGAAATGGAGAGTGACAACACTCAACACGTGTCCAAGATCGATAGCGATAGCGACGCGGAACACCATGGTTAGAGCTTGAATACCATAATTTTCTCCTTAGGGGAAATCAAATTTAATTCAGGAAGCGGTATAGTGAAAGGTATTGATGTTAAAACGTTCTCAATTCATTCACAGAGCCGGGTATGCGAGTTGGACACGATTTCCAAGCGGCCATCCCAGAGCTTGTTTCAGAGAGTAAGTTCATGTTTATGTTAAGGTTTTTAATGATTATTCGTATTCTTTCCTCTAAAGCTAAGATAAGTGATTAAATTAAGCCCTTGTCAAGCTGGGACTTGTTAAAGTGTATGTTGGCGTAAGAGTTGACGGTGAGTTCGCGTACGTCATTATGTAAGAACTTTTAGTTCGCCGGCCGGTTTCGCTCGCTCGCGTCAAGTCAAGGTTAACTTCGTTAATCGTTNTTCTCTTCACTGTTCAAGAGGGATTGTTTCTTGAGCTCTGGGAAATGATCTGCAGAGTGCATGTATTACAAGTAAAAGAGTATATAATGACAAAGTACATGTGTATTATAGACTCGAGTAAAAAGTCTTTTGGAAACAAATATCTCGATGTTATTGCATGGTGCTTTTTAGTCATGTACTTTTTTTGGTCCGTTGATCATGTGACAGTTCTATATTGCACTGTATACCATTTGTATGCCCATTTAATGTGAGACCAAGTTCTTTAATAACTAGAGCTCCCTTAACCTTGTGTTTCAATTGGGAAGACAGGGATTGAGCCCATCACCATTGTACATATATAATTATATAGCTCAATAAAATCATCACACATCCTCATACATGTTGGTCATGTGATTGATAAANCATGTATATATTTTGTATTATTTTGTCATGTTTCTGGGCTAGAAATTAATCTTTTCAGTAAATAACAACTTAAGTATAATTGTTGATGTTTTTTGTGTTTTCCTTTTAGATAAAGATGAGGCTAAACATGACCCGAATCTTAGACATAATGCACTTCTTGTTTGGGCTCCTGTGGATGAAATCCCTAATGCAAAATGTAAGTAATCATTATTATTATTTATTGTATGACTTATGTTTGTAGCCGATATAATGCGCCCTCTGATTGGCTAATACTACATGTAGGACATTATTCTCCTGTAATGCCCATGGGCAGATTACGGACCAGCAAAAACCAAGCAAAAAGCCATATAATAATAAACCATACTATTAACCTTGAACGTTCGGTCTTTACGGAAAAATCTCAAACCTCTGCCTCTCCGTATTGACCTTGCATGGTCAATACGGCAAGGTCTTGGTCTGAGATTTTCCTGTTAAGACCTCACTCTTGGTTAATAAGTAGATAGTAGTATTAGATTAGTATTAGATAGTATTCCTACACTTAACCCAGTTGGTAGGGGTGGCCAAGCAACAATACCACTTTTTCTGACATGG